GTGAGTGCTCTACCGCTTGAGCCACAGCACTACTTCCGGTTTTCTAGTGGTTCATTGGAGATAAAGAGTCTCACGGATTTTTCTGCCTGGGCTGGCTTTGAACCGTGATCCTCCGATCTCAGCCTCCTCAGTAGCTAGGATGACAGGCGAGAGCCACAGGAGCCCGGCTGGATCTAGCCTTCTGTTATGTCTTGGTGGAGATGAAGGAACCCAGACAAAGAGTTTAGGGAGCCTGTGGAGGGACTCAGCTTCCTTGAAAGCATGAAGGTGTGGCTCAAACCCATGTTTGCCAGTGCCTGACCCCATTTTCTATCTCCTTTTCTCTTGGCACAGCTGTAGCATCCACAGAAGCAGGACAGCAGGAGACACAGGCACACAAGGGCCCCACCTGTGCAGGCTCTGAGCAATGCAGTGGGATTCTGGAGGCACAGGTTAATCCTGGGTTGGGAGTGTAGGTGTCTGGGCAAAATCTCCAACAGAGAAGCATAAAACTCTTTTCTTTTAGAAAACTAAGGTTGATCCAGAGCTGCCCTTTGTTTTCTAGGGGTGTAGCCTGCCTCCCAGTGCTTGCCATACCCTCATCTCAAACACAAGCGTCCAAGAGCTGAAGGAGTGTGTGATAAAGAATGCAGGGGGCTGAGCACTGGTGGCTCCCTCCATAGTCCTAGCAACTCAGGAGGCTGGGATATGAAAGTCCGGGTTCAAAGCCAGCCACAGCAGGAAAAGTCCATGAGACTCTTATCACCAATTTAGCACCAACAAGGCTAGAAGAGGAATTGTGGCTCAAGTGGCAGAGTACTAGCCTTGAACAAAAAAGCTCAAGGACAGTACCTAGTCTTTGAGTTGAAGCACATACACCCCCCCCCCCCCCCCCACACACACACACGGCTGCTCTGAGAGACTGTCACAGCTACATCTTGGGACCAGTCTCCCAAATCATTCTGAAATGACTTTAGAACATTCGGTTAAGAATATACCATGAGTATATGAAAGGCAAAAGACATATATCTGTAAACAGCATTTTATTAACAAAATGTTCACACCCTTCTTACAACAAATTTTATAGTGATTTAGCATGTTCTACTCTGTAAAAGTATATTATAGAATATTCCAGCTAAAACAACATGGTTGAAAAATACACCAAACTCTACCGCCACTTGGAGACTATCCACTACCAGCATAGGTATATGAAGAAAAATACTGCAGCGAAAAGCAAAAGGTCTAGTTTTTTCAGCATCAACAAACAATAAAGACATCATATGGTTTACAGAGACTTAGGTCCAGCCCAAGGTCAAGACTGAGAAAAGAAATTCTTCAGATATCACAGAAGCTTGGCAAACCATCGTTGCGGTATTTCATTACAGGTAAGCAATGTGTCATGCCGTGTGGAGCCACAGCCAAAAACCTAGGCTGCTTATGCGGTGCTACAAAGAGAGAGAACTGTAAGCAACTTAGTTCTTTTTCATAATAGAAGTTATAAAAAGGCACAAATACCTTACTCCTTGTACCAGATCTTGACAAGGAATGACATTCTTGGGAGAAATAAGAACTGCTGGTACAATGGCTTAGATTTTTTTTTTTTTCTTTCATGTCTAGCTCATCCCCACAGCAGTTGTTCTTCTAGACTTTTGATTTGGACTTTTACACACTTTAACAAACGTTATAAAGTCAAGGTTCTGACATTTGCTCTACCTGATCACCAATGACAAAAATACACCCTTCCTATCACTCAGTGGTGCTCCCACATGAGCGAGTGCTCCCATCCCCTCTCTTGAAGTCTCAGAGCTCCTCACCCCCGGCTGGTTTTGCATCTGTTTGGCCTGACAGAGTGGGCAAAGCCCCTGCCACTGTGAGCCTGGTGATGCCATGTGTGCTGAGGGGGCGGCTGGTGCAGCACGCCTTTAGGAGAGAGCCCACAGAAAAATGAGAACAGAAATAAGGCAAGAAGTCTGCTTCCATCAGGGAGAAGGCAAGATGTAAGCTGTTAGGAGGGTGAGAGGAATGATCGATGGGCTATGTGATCCCTCAAGTGAAATGATGGAAAGACTGAGTTGGATGTGAGTGAAAAGTAAGGTCTACTCCAGGGTAGTAAAGTTCCATCCACATAGCATCATAAATGGTGCTCTGACTAGCCAGCCACCAATTATTTATTTCCTCTGTGATGAGCGGACTGGTCCTTCTGATGTCATGTGCTTTGACGTACAGGGACAAAGGTTTTACATACTATAATTTCAGATATAGAGCAGGTAGAGGCAAAGAAATTCAACTACTACTGTAGAATATTTTCTCATGGGGCATTAACTGATTATTCAAGTATAAGCTTAATGAAAAATAATGGCCACATGAGGTTAGAGTTAGGTCAAAAAGCAAACAGCCCTGGGGGGCCCAGTGTATGCTGGGAGTCCCACCAACGCCATGTGCTGGCCTCAAGGACCAGGTGGCCCAGCTCTTACACCAGGAGACCATGGTGATTTGGGGAGGGACAGATTCAGTTCCAAGTAAACATGATGGGCTGTCTGTGCAAAATGCTACTCTTCAAGACGACTTCCTCCAATGTACTTCATGGAACAACTTGTTTCCCCAAGCACAGGAAAGTTCCTGAATCAAGGAATGGCGCTGCCACTAAATCTGCATGTTTTGTTTTTGCAGCATGATTAAGGAGGCCATTAAGGTCTACAGTTTAAAACTGTCAATTAAAGAAGGCTCTTAGAAAAAAAATCATTACTATCTCAGGACTGCCCATTAATTGGCAGATAGAACTTGGCACTTCAAGTCCTGTTTTTCTGTTTGTGGAAAGCTACCCAGAATTCTGTTCGTTGCAATTACGCAGTGTTTTGATGAGACACTGGGCATTGTACAGATCTAAAAATGAACTTGCAACAAATTAAAATTTTTTGGTTGTTAAATTGTTAGTCATCACGGATTTAATTTCACTGTCTACTGTTCATATATTCTAATCTTACCATCTAAAGATGGAAGGTTTGAAATTCTTTTTTTTATTGAAGTTCTGAATTCTTTTGTTTTGAAGCCAAAAATATTTGAGCATATTTATAATTGATTATACTCTGGAAGGAAAGAACACAGATATTAGTTATTTCTGATGGTACAGACCATCAAATTAAACTTGATCTATGCTGCTGGAAGTCCTTCTAGATTCAGAAAGTAAATCATTTTCTTATGAGCTACGAGAATCCTGAAGGACAAACTGAGAAAGATGATGGCTCCTGGTTCTAGTTATTCACTTTTCTCATTATGTCTAATGAGACTCCAGCACAACAGGTCTCTCACTTATCATTCTCTTAGATGGAAAAACGGAGGCTCCTGAAAAATGTAATACCCTTCTAATATTTTTTAGACTTTCATTTGCACATAAAACAGGACAAATGCCCTAGAATTCCATTAACATTTCTTGCAAATCGGATAATCAAATTGCCTGGTTTTCTATTACTGGAAGTCAGGACAAGCAACTCTGCTGTCAAAAGGAATTTGCAGAAGCTGTTTCTTGAAGTCCTGGGCTGAACCCCAGTGCCACCTCTTTCTCTAAAACTATGCAGTGTTCTGCTGATCTCCTAGCTAATTTTTCTTGATTGAAAAAAATCATATAGTACCACAGAATATCCTAAACACTACCTTGGAGCATTAAAAGGAAACTCTTATTGATGAGCCAAGCTGCTTGAAGGCAGGTAGTTATATGGTTAAAGCTTGGTTCTTGAAGGTACATTCCATTTCTCCCTTTAAGAAAGATGAGGAGGTAGAGTGTCTCTTGAACAGTAAACAGAAACTGTGTTTGCTCTTCCTTTTCAAATAAATTAAAATGAGAAAGGTTTTTACTCGCCCACATCACAGGATACTCAGGCTAGAGCTGAGAGGAGGGCCAGTCTGTGCATGCAGGCTGCAGGAGTGGGTTCCGATGTTGTGAAGCCAAGCGCACAGCAGGTATCAGAGTGAAGGGCCTCTCTGGAAGGGGAGGGAAGGATGCTGCCATTACTCACACAGGCTTGTGTGGAGATATGGGTGTTTGGGGGCTCTGTTATATATAAATCTAAATCACATACTGTGTGCCCATGGCTTGTACTCTGAGGGCCCAGGAATCACTTTCTTGGTGTGCTCTGGAAGGAGTGAAAAAGCACTAAGGAGGATTTATATAACCCCTTGCATAATTCACTCTAGAATATAAAAAGATGTATATATGATGAACAAGTGCTCTTGGAGCTTGGGAGACTGACATGCCAATTAGCGCTGTGTAGTCTGAATCTAACCTGTCTATTTAAATACAGTGTCATAAAAAAAGACATTCGGGCTTGATGGTTCCAGGAAAGCCCTGGAGTGATTGCCTACAGGACATTTTCATGGCTGTAGCTCCTGGTGTCTTAGAAGGCCTCCTAAACTATTTTTCGAGTTGAGAAAAGAAATAGAGCTAAGCCTTAAAGAGAAGTTCCGAAATAAAATGTGGTTTTTCTTTCATTTCTCGTATTTGAAAAACCAAGACAATAGCAAAGATCAGGAAGGGCACTGGCCTACTTAAAGGGGAAGATAAGTCCTGCGTGGGTGTCCAGAAAAATGACAGAGGAGGCAGGTACTTCAGATGCCACTGTCAGTGGAGAAGGGTGCACATGATTTCCAAAGGGATAAAGCTTTGTGCCAGAACTTTGCCTGGGGGTGGGTGAGGGTGGGGGTGGGCTGCCAAGCAGGTGACCAAGATCTCCTGGGAGCCAGCAGGGCTTGCAGGAGGTACTTCTTCCCAATCACTTCTTACAGAGTTTAACATGAAGGACACTTAATCATACTCTTACTTTATATTCTTTTAATCACCAAATGATAGTTAATTAGTTATTACAGAATCAGAAAAACACTTATGTAAAAGGAGAGATCTAGAGACCAATGGTTTCTAGGATTGGACACCTGCAAAGAGCTTATTTCAATTTCTCAGAAAGGAATCAATATTCACTTTCAGCTAATTAATGATTTTTCTTTTCTGTTCAGTCCTGAAAGTTTTAAAAAATGGTCCTGCGTCATAAGGAAACCAAACGATTTTTATGGATGGGGTTTGTCTCATTTCCTTGGGAGTCTAGCCTTTTCTCATTAAGCATTAAGAAAGAAAATACAAAATTGATATTAGAGATCATTACTTAGGTTCGTGCAAAATGTATTCAAAGCAAAGCACTGCTCCTCACTTAAATATGTGCCTTTGTATTTCATGGAGTTTGGGTTATGGGTCTGAAATAGGTATCTACTGTGGTAGGCCAAAGGAAATGTGGAAGAAGAGAAGAGGTCCAAGAAATGCAGGAGCACAGTGCCTTGTCACCTGTCCTATGGGCAGAAGTGTGAGAAACAAGCCAGACACCAGCTGTCAGGACCTGATGGAGTGGCCCACAGGGCTCAATGCAGTGCAACATCACAGTGGCATTAGAGGCACTGGCGTGAGATTCCCAAGACCCTGCTTACCTGGGCACCAAGAAGCAACTTGATCACCTGCATCTATTGACAAAGGTTATGGAGTTGTGTCATTTTTTGGTGAAATAGGACAGACTCTTTCCCCTGCAACCAATGTTGCTTTGTCTATAATGAGTCAAGCAGCCCCCCCATTCTTAATTTTGTTGTTGTGGAGAAAAGAGGACCAGCAATAAGAATGCTGGCATATACTAGGGCAGCGGCTGGATGCCCTGGGGCTGTGAAGGTATATAAAATCAAATCAAGTCACCTTCAGGTGGGTATAAGGAGCGCAGTGGGAATATTTTCCAGATGTTTACTGTTTGAATGCTGGGTTAGAAGCAAGATGCTAGGAAGACTGAAGTCTGCATGAATTTCACACAAAACATTGTTAGAATTTTTACTAACTGTATTCTGTCTATATGGTTTCAATATGAATAAAATAATTTCAGGTGCTACATATATACAATCGGGAAAGAGGTCTTCAAACTCAATTGCAGTTATAATTTCTTCATTAAAAAAAATCTATCCATTTCAAGTAGGGGCTGCAAAAAAATAACATTGATTTCTAAAAGTTTGGACTGTTCAGTCAAGGATAGCTCTGAAAACACAATTTAGTTTGAAATTCAAGCTGCTTCATTTCCTATTTAATCTTGTAAATTTCCTTCCCTTACAATACGCAGGTTGGAAGGGTGCCAAATTAGACCAGGAACAAATTTTCACCAACCTCTCTTCAGTGCTTTATTTTTAGATTATATTAAAAACCTCATTAGGCTCCCTGAGGGAAAAGAGTGTTAACCACTAACAGAGGCAGGGGAAAATAAAGGAAACGAAAGACAAGCTAAATTGTTAACAAGGAGAGCACTCTTAAAACAGTTGGGCTGAGGTCTCTGTAAAAGCCCAGAGGCTCAGCACCAGGACCAGGACCAGGCTTGGAGTTTATTCTTTCCCCTCCGGCTAGGAAGGACTAGTCAGGCTTGTCAAAGTGGCATATGTCTTCATTAACATTTCCAGATGGGATGTGCAGGGAAGGAGATGGGGGAGAGGCAGGGAAGGCTAGAAAGATAAGCTAAGTGCTCCATGCCTCTGAACTACATAAATGTGTTTCAGGGTCTCCTGTGGACAGGCTGAAAGATGGGCGGGCATACGCAAGACTGGGTGCAAGATTAAATGGAGTGTTGAATGAAATGTAGAATTTATTAATGTATTTACATAATTTATCATCTTTAAGCAATGGTCTCATAAATACAGACTACAACTTTACATATGCTAAGCAACAGATACTTGCTTTCCCTCCAAAATACTTACTTGGGTTAAACAGGAAACTGACAGCATTTACACTATGTTCTTTTCTCATTCTCCCTTTTAAACCACTGCTAGGCAGCTTAGCATAGCTCAATGTACTCCAGGCCGCTTCTCTACCACCAGCACCTTGATCATGAGTTTCTTTTAGAAGGTGCCAATAATATGTATGGTGACACATACATGACAGGGTCAGCACAAACCCAGGGTGAGGTGGGCAAGGCTGCTCTGGCTGCTGACCCACTGGGTAGAACCACAACCCAAGTGCTTCCTGATGTGGTGGGTAAGAAGCTGTTCCCATTGGTCCTGTAAATAATCCATTTCAGCTTCAAATAGCAATAGCCACTCCCCCACCTGTACTGTCCTATCACATTTTAAATGACACAACTTCCTCTAACAGTGGCAATGGAAACGAAGGAAATTACAATCTTCACAAAGGCTTGTTCCCCAACAAGAACCACAAAAGTGCTAATTTTCCCTTTACAAATGTTACATAATATCTTGATTACAAAACTACCCAGCAATTGAATCCTGTCATCCGTACAACCAGATGTCCCTTCACCAAGGTCAAAAGCCAAGGACGCCAGGGTCCCTTTGCACATCAGAGGGTCTTATCATACTATAAGTCACATGTGGAAACTCCACCACACCTGTCTTCAAAGGGAGAAGGGAACGGTCAATCTCGAAGTCCTTTTGCATAAAGACGACTCAAGAGTGCCAGGTGGACATGGGCAGCGAGGCCCAGCCCTCCTGCGAACACTCACCACCACCTACTGTGTGGCTGGCTCGTCAGCAGCAGCTTCGCTTTGGCTCCGACGTTTGTCTTCGGAGTTTGAAGCCTTTGCCGCCAGAAGGTGGGTTGGCATCAGTGGACGGAATTCTTCGACCTACACCAACCAGGATGAGAGAGGGGAAAGAATGAGTGCCAACTTCTTACACCTGCTCACTTTCAGAAACAATAATTTTGCTGATAACAACTGACAGGTTTTATCACAGCAGGGCAGTTTAACGAGCACTCGACTATAATGGAAAGGAAAACTGCAAAGATGACTGGTACAGAGTGCCCACCTACCCTCCTCCAACTTCCCCTCAAGTTGGCATCCTACACTGTCCAAGATCATCAGCCAGCAGGAACACCAGACTCTTTTTAGGTGTCAGTTTTTCCACTCATGTCTTTTTTCTCTCTTTCCTTTTCCTCCCTTAGGTTTCACCAGTTTATCTACTCATGTCTTCTCTCTTTCTCTTTCTCTCTGTCCTTCCCTGTCATTCTTTCTTCTAATTTGCTCAGGGGCCATGTTAATCTCCTCTGTATCGGTCCGGTTTTAGTGCATGTGTGCAAGGCAGCCAGTGCACTAATGTCCTATTTGTTTTAGGATCCAAACAAGGGATACCACACAGCAATTAGCAAGCACTTTTAATTCAAACAATTACATATTGAAGACACTTGGTTTTATGTAGCAAACACATTCCCTTTAAAGGATCACATCAGTACACGCACACCCGTCTCACAGCTGAAGCTACTCACCAGACCTAGCACATGTCTTCCTGATGCACCCTCACAATACATCCAGCCACCCAAGCTCAATCTTGGGCTGCACAGGTAGAAGCAAACAGATGCCCTGCTCCCTTGCTGCCACCGGGCTCCCACCTGATACACTATGGGGATTCTTCTACCAGTGAGGAGCTGCTGCTGCTCTGCCAGCTTCACAATGCGCGCCAGCATTTGTCTACCTGTCCGTCTCCTGAAGAATACTGAGTTTATGCACAAAGCTGCCATGCTATTCACAATGATGAGGGTGTAGGAGAGGTGAAGAGAGTAGAGGTGAGGAGAGAGGAGGTGAAGAGAGAGGAGGTGCCAGGCCACACTATTCGGCCCCCAGGCATCTGTCTAACACATTCTGTACTCCTGGTGTCTACCTAGCACAAATGCAAGAGGGATGTGCAATTTAAATTTTTACAGATGCTGCCAAATTGCTCTCTGAAGAGAGTGTGTCACCAACAATGCATGAGAATGAGCAGGCTTCACTTTACTGCTCTGTGAAGCATGATGTCAATTTTGAGAGAAATCTTCAATCACCCATCCACCTTCCTGGTTAATAACTCCAGGGTCACGTCTTGTACAAAGGCTTCCGATGCCCCTCTCCACTTCCCAACTCTAACACCTCACACTAAGATCCATCAGGACTCTAGAAGGACACTATCACACATTTGTTTTGGGGCCAGTACTGGGGCTTGAACTCAGGGCTTTGTGCTCTTACTTCGCTTTTTTTTTTTTCTCAACGTGGTACACTACCACTGAATCATGCCTCTACTTCCAGCTTTTTGCTGGTTAACTGGAGGTAAGAGTCTCAGATTTATATGCTCAGGCCAGTTTCAAACTGTAATTCTCAGATCTCAGCCTACTGAGTAGCTAGGATTACAGATGTGAGCCACTGACATCTGGCTCATGTTAAAACGTATTTGTATCAGGGTTGGGAAATCTTTTTACTACCAAAGCCCATATAGATATTTATAAAATCATTAGTGGGCCATATAAATTTATCAACATAGGCAGACAAGCACAGGTGTCTAACAAGAACCATACAGGAAGCACACGTGCCTGGGCCTTGTAAGGGCCAGGACCTACTCAGCACAGTAGCTGGCGCAGTAGCTGTAAACATGGAAAGAATGGATATGTTTCCTAACAGTTTTCAGCTCCTTGGCTGCCAAGTCTTGAACGTCCACTGTTTTGGGAAGTCTGTGACCTGGGAGGCTATTGTGCACACGTGCACGTGTGTGCTGGTCTTGGGGAACTGTCTTTGAGCTTTTGTGCTCAAGGCAAGCACTCTACTATTTAAGCCACAACTCCACTTCTGACTTTTTGGCAGTTAATTGGAGATAATCTTGTGGACTTTACTGCCTGGTAGATCTGAACTGTGATCCTTAGATCTTATACTCCTGAGTAGCTACAACTGCAGATGTAAGCCACTGGTGAGTGGTTATAGTATGGTTTCCATACCAACTAGAAAGTGTTCTACAACTTTTCAAATGCTCTTAAGACACTGGTGTGAATAAATTACAAACATACTGAAGCCTTATTGAAGCTTCTTGTCATGTTTTCTCCCTAAATGGAAACTGGAAAACAGCTGGCATCACAGAGACAACTGTGAAATGTGACATAATTTTTTTAGAACTAATATTTTCAGAAAAAGGTAACATCTTTGAAATGTTTCTTAAGCATTTATGTTGACCATAAAGGATAATAAGGACAAACTGTATTCAATTAGCGCTAAGAAATTCAGTTCAGGGCTGGGAAGGTGGCTTAGTGGTAGGGTGCTTGCCTAGCATGCATGAAGCCCTGGGTTCGATTTCTTAGTACCACATACACAGAAAGGCTGGAAGTGGTGCTGTGACTCAAGTGGTAGAGTGCTAGCCTTAAGCAAAAGCGGCTCAGGGACAGTGCCCAGGCCCTGAGATCAAGTACTTGCACCACAAAAATAAATAAATAAATTCAGTTCATCCAAGGATTGACTAAATTATGAAAGTCAAACTATCAAGAAATATTTGCAATATACAGTTAAACAAAAACATATCTAAAATAAAGTACAAATAACACAAAAAAACACAGGTAGCCCAATAGAAAAATAGGCCAAAGACTTAACAGTACCTTCCTAAAGAGAATCAGACATTACACAGGTGTATGTAAGTCTCTGGGCAGGTGCTCAATTTATCACTGTCATGGAAACACAGACAGAGAGGGATGGAATCTTATCCAGTGCTGTGGTGTCAGGTATACAACCTGCAGTTTGCAAACAGGCTGTTAAGCCATGCTGAACACATGCAAATCCAATGCCCAGGCAATTCTTCTCTTGGGTATAAAGATATTTAACCAAACGGTGCACAGATGTTCACCAAAGGATATGCCTAGAATGTTTAGAACAGTTCCATTTGTAATAGCTCCAAATTGGAAATAACTATCCCAATGCCGCCCATAGCAGAATGATAATCACACTATGGGTAACCCTTGCTTTTGCCTCCCCAGCCCTGAGCTTGGCATTAACACATATCAGCCATGAAAAAGCACATTTTACAGCTAGTGCAATGATACAGATGATCTAAAGGTGGAATATAAAATGAAGTAAGAAGCCAGGTATTGGTGGCTCACGCCTGTAAACCTGGTTACTCAGGAGGCTGAGATCTGAGGATTGTGGTTTGAAGACAGCCAAGGCAGGAGACCATGAAACTTATTTGCAATTAATCACCAAAAAACTAGAAATGGATCTGTGGCTCAAGTGATAGAATAGTAGGCTCAAGGAAAAAAAACTCATGGACAGCACCCAATCCCTGAGATCAAGCCCCAGTATCCCCCCCCCACACATTCTCTCTCTCTGTGTCTCTGTCTCAAAAGAAGCCAGATACAAGAGTATGCTTAAAAAAAATATCAAATATTGGGCTGGGAAGGTGGCTCAGTGGTAGAGCGCTTGCCTTGCATACCCGAGGCCCTGGGTTCGATTCCTCAGCACCACATAAGCAGAAAAACCCGGAAGTGGCACTGTGGCTCAAGTGATAGAGTGCTAGCCTTGAGCTGAAGAGCTGAGGGACAGCGCTCAGGCCCAGAGTTCAGGCCCCATGACCGTCGGGTCCCCACCCCCCAAAAAAGATACCAAATACAAAATATATGTAAACTAAATCTGAATAGTCAGCACATAGAACAGGGCTACCCTAGGGTAGGAGTAGCTATGTTTCACCCTGGGGGCCAACACAGGTTCTATTTTGTGACGACTTGCTGAAGACTACACACTTTTCTGTGTGTATATTATACTTCCACAGTCAGTGTCACAGGTACTGTGCTTACACTATATGACAACACCTGGGGGATAAGCAAAACTCCCATGCTGATTTTTAAAGACTATGGACATATACTTAGTTTGTGCAGTTAAAACTAGCTCCTTGAGCAGGGCAGCCAGGCGCTCTAACACTGACCTGCACTGCTTGTCATACTAATTTTTTTTTGTCGGTCATGTGACTTGAACTCTGGGCCTGGGCGCTGCCCCTCAGCTCTTCAGCTCAAAGCAAGCACCCTACCACTTAAGCCACAGTACCACTTCCAGTACTCTGGTGGTTCATTGGAGATAAGAGTCTCACGGACTTTCCAGTCCGGGCTGACTTTGAACCGTGATCCTCACATCTCAGCCTTCTGAGTAGCTAGGATTACAGGCATGAGCCACTGGCACCTGGGTGTAACACTAGTTTTTACATAAGCATTTTCCTGGGGAAGGGAAAGCAGGAGAAAATGAGGGAGAGGATACATTTCTATTCAGTGTTATCCTCTCCCTCAAAATGTACTCATTACCGTACTTCTGTAACTGTAACCCCTCTGTACATCACCTTTACAAAAAAAAAAAAATTCCTGCTGAAGCTGGGCAGGGGGCTCATCTGTACTAATAGCTATTTGAAGGTAGAGATTGAGGAATCCTGGCTTGAGATTAGTCTTAGCATAAACATTCCCCAGACTTGGGGCACAACAAACAGATTTGACAAATAGGAACACATCAGAATAAGTTACTATACAGTGAAAGACAGAGTTACTAAACTAGAAAGACAGACGACAGACTGGGAGAAAATCTTTACCAGCAAAACATCTAACAAAACATACTATCCAAAATATACAAGGAGCCCCCCAAATTAACACCCTCCCAAAACTAATAAATCAATCAATAAATGGGCAAAGGAGCTTAAGAGAGACATCTTAGAAGAATGGCAAATAAACACATGAGGACATGCTCAATATCCCTGGCTATAAAGAAAAATGCAAATCAAAGCAACTTTGAGATTCCATCTCGCCCAAGTTAGACTGGTCAACATCAAGAACTGGACAACAATACTGACAGGGATATGGGGTGGTAATGTAAACTAGTACAACCACTTTGGAAAGGAGATTTGAAGGTTCTTCAAAAACTAAACATAGATCTTCCACTCTTGGGTATCTACCCAGAATGTTACAAGTCAGGATACCATAAAGACACCTGCATGTTCATGTTCACTGCTGCACTATTCACAATATCCAAATTATAGAAACAGCCCAGATGCTGTTTACATAAATGTATACAGACACACAGACACACACACCCACACACAGGAATTTTACTCATCCATTAGGAAGAATAAGATTATGTCATTTGCAGGGAAATGGATGGACCTAGAACAAATCATGTTAAGTGAGATAAGCTAAGCTCAAAGAAAGAAATAGTGTACATTTTCTCTCCTATGTGGACACTGGATCTAAAATATTAACAGGATGTAATTTATATAGGACTCTAGACAATCAGACACAAAGAATCAGACCAAAGGAGGATACCAAGAGGGGAGGAACCTAAAGGTGTCATTTCCATACTATTTATCAAAATGAATTCCAGGAAATGAAAACATGGGTTACTTATGTTGGTGGTGGTGCAGTTTGTGTGTTTTTTTCCTTTTTCTTTTGTCTGTCATGGGGCTTGAACTCAGGGCCTGGGTGCTGTCTCTGAGTACTTCTGCTCAAGGCTAGTACTCTACCATTTTGAGCCACAGCATCACTTCTGATTTTTGAATGATTAATTGGAGATAAGAGTCTCACCAGGACTTTTCTGCCTGGGCTGCCTTCAAATCAAGATCCTCAGATTTTTTTTTTTCCTTTTTGGCTTTTTAGGGAGCATAGGAAGGGAGAAGGGAGGGTGAACAAATGTAGTCATGATAGTCAATATACACTGTATGGAAAATAAACTGCAACTTGTGGGCAGGGAAAGGAGAGGCAAACGGGGGTGGGGGGGGGGTGGGGGGAGACAGTGAAGGAAGGTGTGACAGTGTCCAAAAAATAATTCTCATTACCTAATTTATGAAATGATAACCCCTCTGTACAATTTTAATAATGACAAAATTGTATTTTTTAAGTAAAAAAAATAAGTTAAAAAATTCCTAAGTGCCGGTGGCTCATGCCTTTAATCCTAGCTACTCAGGAGGCTGAGATCTGAGGATCATGGTTCAAAGCCAGCCCAAGCAGGAAAGTCTGTGAGACTCTGATCTCCAAAAAAACACTAGAAAACCAGAAGTGGCACTGTGGCTCAAATGGTAGAGTGCTTGCTTTGAGCTGAAGAGCTGAGGGGCAGTGCCCAGGCCCAGCGTTCAAGCCCCACAATTGCCAGAAAGAAAAAAAAAAATCCTGAGACTCCACTTTAATGAACAGTGAAGTAGCAGGCGCTAAAGTGAGACTATCTAAAAAATAACCAACATATAAAAGACTACCTCAAGTGGAAGAGCTCTTGTCTAACAAGTTTGGGGCCCTGAATTCACCCCCGTAGGACCACCAGAAGAGGGAAAAATTCAAAGGACAATTTTCATTATTGGCATAGTCCTCTATCTTTATATTTAAAAAACAGCAGTAGTTTTAGCATCCAACACCACACATGCAGATACTAGCCAGAACGTTAAAAACTCCCAAGTCATCCTATGCAGCTTTTTAAGGACATACCTACTATTTACATCTAGGGCAGCAATGAACATTATGTTTTCCAGCCTTCTAGCCAAGGGGCCTCTTTGAAAGTGTCACCAGCAGACCACTGATCACCAAATGTGCCTGCAAAGAACTCTTGAAAAAGATTAATAGCTAAATCATAATGGCAACATGGAATCTAGACCTAAGCCAGGTGCTGGTGGCTCATACCTATAACCTTACTTGGGAGGTTGAAATCAGGGAGGGTCACAGGGTAAAGGCAGCCTGGGCATACACAAGAGTACTTTACAAACAGCTAGGCTCACTGGGGTATACTTGTCCTGTCTGCTGTATTGGAGGCTAAGGTTGGGCAGATCATATTCCAGGACAGTCTGAGCAGGGAAAGTCCTTGAGACTCCCTGTCAATGGAAACAAATTGGACTTAGTGTCGTAAGGAAGGAGAGAAAACTAGCAATCCCCTGGACAAGGTAGAAGAGACTGCTGGTTAAGACACTGCCCCTGCTGCATGCTATCCAACCAGGCTTTCAAATAATGGAATCAGTTGAGGAGCCCGACAACAGATGAGTGGATAGAGGTGGTACACACATGTTTACAAACAAAAACTAGAAACAACCTCAGCAACAGGGCAACTAGAAGCCTACACTCTATCAGCATCCCAGCTGCTGAAGATGATCCCAACTTCCAGGGCTTGAAAAGCCAGGCCTACTCCACTGGGGCAGTCTTTGCTTGGCTCTGGTGGGCACTGAAGTTCATGATCATTCCTCTTTACAAAGATGAATAGACCTTTCTGCTTCAGCTATCTTAGATCTCAATCACAGTGGGGTGTATGTGTGTGTCTGTCCGTCTTGAACTCAAGGCCTGGGCACTGTCCCTGAGCCTTTTTGCTAAAAGCTAGTGCTCTATCAATTGAGCCACACTGCCACTTCCAGCTTTTTGGAGTTTAATTGACGATCAGAGTCTCACAGATGTTCCCTGGACTGACTTCAAACCATAAACAACCATAAACATCAGATTCGGCCTCCTGAGTAGTTATGATTACAGGCATGAGCCATGGTGCCCAGCTCAAAGGATGTGTCTTAATGGAACCCCCAATCCCAGCCTACCTCTGTAGGGTCTGCCTCAAGGGCCTCAGTTCCAATCCTGCTTCTTCAGAGGACTTCCCTGACTACTTGAAGGCCGGCTCTCATTCCACCCACTGTCACTATGTTCTTTGCATCTCTTGTTATTATCTGAAATGATCCTTCTTATTTGATGTTTACGCCTGTCTCCCCTGTGTGTTCCGAGAGAGCAAGGGCTGTGTCTATCTTCTTCATGCTATCTCTCCGCCCCCCCCCCCCCCCCCCCCCGCCTCGAGTCTGGAACAGTTCCCAATAAATATTTTGATGAATTTGAATGAAACAAATAAACACAGATATAATCTGTAAGAGGATCCAAAGGCCTGCAGTGCCTCTCTCATCCACCGTCATCATACTAACACATTACAAAGGGCTGGCAGTTGGGAGAGAGGCCCTCCAACCTTTTCTCTTGCTTGGTACTAATTTTTGAAGGTGTCCCACATTGAAATTACACCAGCATTTCATTTCCCTTTATTTATTTTGTTTGTTTTTGATGACTTTGGTTGGTTAATTGAAACTCATTTAAGTAGAGAGGATGAGAGATGCCAGCTTCTCTGACCTCAGTGCCCTGTGAGTTATTTATTCCACAGGGACATTCTTTACAGAAGAGCGACAGTCATCAGGCGGCAGTGACAGCAATGACAGGGAAGCCAGCCATTCCTCTTTGAAGTCTCACTTCACCGAGGATGGCGTCAGAGACTGGGAGATTGAAGGAAAGGAAAGAGTCTACAAAGGAAGAGAATTCTGTCTGGAATTGCTCTACACAGACGAAACCCAAGAGGCACAGAGATACTCACTAATTTCTATAAAGAGTTCATTTATGTTTATCGCATTTTTTGCGCTGGTCTCTACAAAAATTGCATGAATGGAATCAGCGTAGTCCTTGGCATCTCTCTCCATGACTTCTCTGGAAGGCAACAAGTGCAAATCAGAAATTCTGAACATTAAGATCTCAATGTCATCCCCTTCTGCCCAGAGGTTAGCCAGTGGATGTCAAAGGACGTCCTTTGGGGGATGAGCCCGGACACATGGTTTTTCTTCCAATTAGGCCACTTCTGTTGTTAAAACAACAAAGAATGCAATGGGATGTTGGGGAATGGCAAGACTCCTAACCTCTACCTCATTCCTCCAAAAGCCCTTGTTTGGGAACGATCAATAACCTCCTTTCTGTGTGCTGTAACTCAGTATCACAGGAGCTTGGGGGGTGGTGGTGGTGGTGCTGATCTTAGACAATGTCAAGTGTGAGGTGACCCATGTGTAAGTAAATTACATACCTGTCTCTTTACATAATATAATTAGTTTCAAATGCCTGAAGTCTTAATTTTAGTTAGAAACTTCAGGACTCCAACCACATAACAAAAGGAATTTTTCAATGTCACAGATAAAACAGAAGCCAGATTCATACACTGGATATTGCTCATTAAGAGAAGGAACACATAATCGGCATGGTAATCTTGCTGTAATAACTCACCTGACATCGATAAGATCACACTTATTTCCTGCAATGGCAACTACAATATTAGGTGGGCCATGCTGTCGGAGCTCTTTCACCCAGTTCTTTAATGTTGAAAATGTCTCCTGTAATAAAAAGGGAGAATGAGTGGAGACCTGATCGACTAAGAGTGTCCAAAGGCATCTAAGCAAAACGGAGCTAAAATCTTACTTCTTTTGTGATGTCGTAAACGATAACAGCCGCAGCTGACCCTCGGTAGTACATTGGTGCCAAGGCTCGGAACTGCAGAGGGAAAATAAACAACAGAATTGGGGATATTAGTTAAACATGTTCTTTGACTAGACTTTTAAGCCCATTATCCCCACACAAAAGGTAATCTTTCTCTTAAGCCACAGAAGATGACATAATGCTTTAAAGAAAATGAACCCTTAATTACAAGAGGCAAAAACTTCTAATGCAACACCAAAATGTCTCTCAGAAGATAGTTTAGAGTACAGTTTTATAGGAGTTAAGTATGGTGCTATAAGCAATTGTTTCAGCTAAAAGGCTTTTTAATTGAACTTAGTGCTGTAATTCCCAAATTCATTTGTTCAATAGTCCTTTAAACTCTGGGTTCTCAAACTATGAGGGAGATAAAAATAATGTGGTAGACAGTTCTCTAGAGAAGTGGCTGCATTGGGGTGTCAGAGGTCATCCTGCAATCCAGATGACAGCTGTCCTTGGCCTAAGTACACAGTTAAATTCACTGTTTGAATGAGTGTAGCTTGATTTTTGGATATCTCCATGAAGTTCCTAAGGTGAGGTCTCATTTTGCTCCATGAGCTTGTGCAGCTTCTGTAACCCTCCTCTTCACATGCAATGATGGAATAGCAAAGAAAAATCTTGGTTCCTGGGCATATGTCACACAGAATGGCTTGTCAACATTTAAAGCCAAGTTTACCCATTAACAGAGCCTCTCCATGGGTAGTAGCTCACCCCATATAAAGGCAGGAGCCATCTTTAAAAAGGAGCGTGTGATACATGCGCAGAATCCACATATACAGTTTGGCCTTGTAACTTCTTATCAATGGCTTACCAGTCTATAAACTTTTGGCCCTTAAACTTTCATGCTAAATAGGAGGGAGACAGCAGGTGTGCACAGCAAGTGATCAAGAACTGGTGAATGAATGAATGAGAACGTATGCGTGAGGCCAGGCTGAATGTCAGACCCAGGTATCCATGTTCAGAAATTTAGTCATCTCTGTGAGAGAAACATCTGTCCCTGGGCAAAAGCCTGCTAAATTCCAATATCAAGTTTGGAGAGAAAATAAACAAACAAACAAAGAACTTCAAGCACTACAAACATGTGCTGATAACATTAAGTTAAAAAGTTGGGCTGGGAAGGTGGCTCAGTGGTAGAGCGCTTGCCTTGCATGCATGAAGCCCTGGGTTCGATTCCTCAGCACCACATACACAGAAAAAGCCAGAAGTGGCACTGTGGCTCACGTGGTAGAGTGCTAGCCTTCACCAAAAGCTCAGGGACAGTGCCCAGGCCCTGAGTTTAAGTACCAGGACTGGCAAAAAAAGAAAAAAGAAAAAGACGGTAAGATGTTGGCTTGGCTTCCACAGCCTACAAGGAATGGGGCAGGAGCACAGAGTGGGACGACACCAAGGTAAGCCACTGCCTCCATCTTTGATTTACTTCTGATAACAATGTCTTTTATAGGATTGTGCAGTTTTTGCTTTTTTTCTAAAGTAAAAGTTCCATTAAGAAAAGCAGAGATCTTAAGCTGTACAGTCTGATAAATCGACAAATATTCTCCAGAGGATTAGGGCATTCCCATTAGCACAGGTTCTCCAACATCCTGTTTTCTGTGTCACTCTTTAACCTTGATTATAACTTGTCTTCAAGTCTTTTTATTGAGATGAACATGACCACTACAGCATTTTTTGCTTATGATCTGCACAGAATACTCATTTCCATGCTCTTACTTTCAACTATCTTGTGTGTGTGTATGTGTGTGTGTGCCCATACACAAACTTAAACTCAAGGCCTTGTGCTCTCAGCATTTTTCCCTTACAGCTGGCATCCTACAACTTCAGCCATACCTCATCCACATCTGGCTTTTTGCTAGTTAATTGGAGATTAGAGTCTCAAGGTTTATCTGCCCAGGCTGGCTTCAAACTGCAACCCTCAGATCTCTGCCTCCTGAGATCTAGCTATTGCTAAGATTACAAGAGCGAGCCATCAGCTTCTTTGAATGGTTAGAGATCATGTGGCTGGGTCCTACAATCTGGTACAACCTGACCACCTCTGCCCTTTAAATCTCAGTTCCTTTACATTTTATGTTCTTATCTGATGTGTCTGGGTGTAGGTGACCATTTACTTTTAACATTTCTATTCGTCTTCTCTTTTCCATTGATTGGATATTTTTTAGCACTCAATTTTAATACATTAATTCTTTTATTAGCTTTTTAAGCTATGCTTTCTTGTATTCTTCTTCTTCTTTTTTTGGGGTTGGTAGTGGGGCTTGAATTCTGGGTGTGGGGTTGTCCCTGAGCTCTTCAGTTCAAGGCTAGCGAGTGCTCTACCACTTGATCCACAGTGCCACTTCCGGTTTTCTGGTGGTTTACTGGAGATAAGTATCACAGCGGACTTTGCTGCCCAGGCTGGCTTTGAACCATGATCCTCAGACCTCAGCTTCCTGAGTAGCTAGAAGTATAGGTATGAGCTACCAGCACTTGCCTCTTGTATTACTTTTAAGAGTCTTCATGTAAAATGTCAGAATCAAGTAAAAGTCAAATTCCTTTTATCCTAGTCTCTGCTGTTGTTATGAAATATTTAAAATGTACATCTATCTACTCTACCGTACAGTTCAATGTTGTAATATTTGCACTAAATGTCCAGCTGCTTTTAAAGGTGACAAGAAAAAGAAATGATGGATTTTTAGTGCTTGTTTCTTCTTCCCGGGGCTCCGAGTGTCACTGCTGTCACTTCCCTTCAGTCTGAAAAACTTTCTGGGACTGCTGCTGCTCAATTCTTCCTATTTGTTTTTCTGAAAATGGCTTTGTTTTGATAGATATCTCTGGCAGGCTGACAGCTGTTGCGTTTTCCTTTGCTTTTAGCTTCAACATGTTAAAGATACTGTGCCAGTGGCTTCAGTTCTCCAATGTTTCTGTGGGTAGTCAGCCATTATTTACATTATTCTCCTGAATATGATGTTATCTTTTATCTCTAGTTGTTTTTAAGATTTTTCTCCTCACCTTTGTCTTTCAGTAGTCTGACTATGATTTATCTAGATGGATTTTCGTAGCACTCATGTTTGTTTATGTTCTGAACTGCTTGGATTTATGAGCTGATGTCTGACCACATGTGGCAAGATTTCAGCCATTATTTACTGAAATATATATATTTTTTCTCTATCTCCATTTCTCTCTTCACTCCTCTTGAGCCTCCAATTTCACACATATTAAACTTTGTCTCTATGGTACTGAGTGTTTGTCTTTCCCTGTTTGTCTGACTTGTCTTATTGCTCATCCTGTGAACTTTTCATCTTAGTTGAGTATTTGTATTTGATTCTCTATATTAAGTGTCCATTCTGGGTGAGATTTTAAATCTGTGATTAAGACTATTACTACTTAAAAAAACTTTTTTTCAATTTACTTTAATTGAATACCTTTATTCTGTATCCACAAATTCCAGTAAGAAGCCACTTTGGGGATTGCATTTACTTGCTGCAGTTCCTTTTCCCATTTCTTCCGAGTATGGCAATTCTGCTTATGTACTCAACAGTGTGAGTGACACACTGTAGACCTGGTTTCTGTCACTTCTCTAACGAAGGTTAATTTACTGGCTAATCATGCTGAAATCCGTTTTGCATAGTTAGGGTGTGTCTACTTGATGTGTGTCCTTAGTCCCAGGTCCTGGTTTTTCCCGTAAGGCCTGGACCTCCTGAAGTTTCAATGGACCGCACTCAACTGCAGCTCTGCTGGGCTGGGCAGCATGTGAAATCTCCGTGCAGTCTTATTACTGCTCTGGTGGTTGGTGTCTATGAGGTTTGGTGATGTCTTCTTCCTGTCTTGGGACCAACTAAACACTTGAAAGAATTTATAAAGAGATTTTCTGGTTGCTGTCCTTGCTGGATTCATCTTTTTCTGGTATTTGCCTCCTCTTCTTCCAACTGCTCTAGCAGCCCCAAACTCTGCTCAAATACCACAAGCTAGAAGAATCGGCACTCAGCTTGAATCCTAGCTACCTAGTGTCCCACAGACTGAGGTATGTTGACGTGGGACAGTATATATAAAAAGGCGCATGGCGCCCAGAACTACACACTTTTCGATCCCTGGCTATTTGGTTGCTGTGTAAGGCCTTCAAGTGGTCATTTAAAAATATTTTATATATAGCTGTGGTTTGTGTGATAAAACTCTCCGTTACTAACACCGAAACTCTTCCCTTCTTTTGGTGTAAAGGGAGAAGACAGAAACATTTGAAGAGACAAAAAAGATGGCAGGACATCTGTGTTCCAAAGCCAGGCAGATCAGGGGATAGCCAAGTTTCCTGGCAGGGGCCAGCAAGTAAAAAGCTTCAACAGCTGTGGGCTATGTGGTATCTATACTTATACTTATGTAAATAAGGTAAACAAATACTTACGTAAATAAAGTAAAACCCAGACAAAAGCCTGGGTTTGGTCCACAGATCACAGTCTGTTGGCCCCAGCTCTAGGTGGCCCTGAGCTCCTATACTCATCCCTGATTTTAAACATGCAAATAGTTTCTTCCATAACTGCTGTCAAAATAAATGAAAGTGTTTCCTCAGAGATCAGGCCACTAGGAAGAACCACGGGACAACACAGGGGTATAAATCTTTTTTTTTTTTTTTTGGTCAGTCATGGGGCTTGACTCTGGGCCCGAGCACTGTCCCTCAGCTCTTCAGCTCAAGGCTAGCACTCTACCACTTGAGCCACAGCGCCACTTCTGGCTTTTTTTTCTGCTTATGTGGTGCTGAGGAGTCGAACCCAGGGCCTCATGCATGCAAGGCAAGCACTCCACCACTGAGCCACCTTCCCAGCCCCAGGAATATAAATCTTTAAGTTTGACTGTAGTGTCTACAAGACGAGGTTAAAATGTTTTACTCTATATTGTCACATACAGACAGTAAGCATCTGACGTGTTTCTCCACATGTACAGTATATTTATGGCATGTATTCAACAGTGCTCATTCATGCAGTGTTATACCATCTCAACACTTGCACCATTAGGAAAGGATAACTGGTAAGAAAAGGTGACTAAATGAACTCATTCAGAACTGCGAATAATAGGGGCAAAAAAGACTTGCAAAGGCTGTCTTGAGAAAATAAATGTAAAATCATGAAAACAAGCTTCATTTTACCTGGCAGCTGAAAAAAAGCCTGGGCTCATTTTTATAGCCAGTATCTAATTTTTTAGATGAGCACTGAAGCAAGTTAATTGATAACCTGGCTATGAATCTTCTGATAAACATCTGATATGCTGGCACAATACAAAATACTTCATTGCACAATAGATTCTCACAGTCCTAGTATAATGTAAAAATGACAATTTTCATCAGAAATGATTGAAGGCTCTGGTCAGCTTTGCTGAGGCTCTTCTTAACCCTTTGATATACACAGGACTACTTTCTAAGCTTGTACATCAACATCCCAATCAGTATTTCTCTCTTCATAGAATTTAAGGAGATCTCCACTGACCAAGGAGTAATATAACATCGGATAAGCTTTCAAAACTGCTGTCAACCCCTAAACACATCACTTTACAATCAGTTATAACTTGACTAGAACAATAACTTGTGTCAAAGCTATGAGTGACAACAGATGCTAGGGCAAAATGAGGAGGATGTCAGCTCATGGAAAAGGGGTTTCATTCTATAACAGTGCTGGGCTCCATTATGAATCTCTTTGCTGTATTGAACTAAATAAACATATTAAGTGCTGGAAAATTCTACTTGGAGGCACTCCTCACATGGTAAATGTAAGTAGAGAGGCTGTCCTTACCTGTGTCTAAACAGGGTAAAGCCATCAGATGACCTAAGTTTATTGATATCAACACCATGTGCTAGGGCCTGAGAGTAGAGATATGAAGACAGTGTCCCCTCCCTACAAGGAGTTCAGTCTGATGGAAGGCAGATTAAGTAGGAGAACAGGTGATGATAACACAGATAAGGACAAAGACTGCTGAGAATACACAGAGTTAATTTGCTGATTTGTCCACCTAATCACTATCTGGACATTAGCTATCCATCAGGTAGGCGAGGGATGGCTTTAGTAGAGAACAAGACATGGTAGTCTTAGCTCCCAATTTACAAAGAGATGCTCAGTAAAGGTTAAGTAGAAAGACATCTAGTTATATCTCATGAGTATCTTGAGGAAAATGAATAAAGGCAGTGTGAGAGAATTGGTACCCCTGGTTAGGTTCAGAGGGTTAGAGAAAACTCCAAAGTGTGACATTTAACCTGGGACCAAAACGTGGTAAGGTGCCTGTGAGTGGAGAGCAGAGCAAGTTCCAGTGAGAAGGACTGACGCATGCGGGGGCCTGAGGACAACTGTGTCAGGACCTGTGGGCTAGAGGCCGATGGCTGGACAGAAGTGGAACGGGGCATGTGGGCTGCGCAGGCCCCTTCCGAACAAGGCCAGAGGACAAAGGCAGTCACTAAAGAGTGTTAGGAGGAGCAGAGCAGGGTTTCTAAAAGGACTCTGAGTCTTGTGAGTGGAAGTGACAGGGCAGGGCTGGGTAGAGGGAAAAGTATAGAGACCAGTGAAAAAGCTGCCAGACAGCTGAGTGGCGGTGAAAGGTGGCTGAGAGAGCAAGACGCCAGCGGTGGTGGCGGAAACAGATACATCTGAGATACACGTAAGACAACGGAGTCACCAGGACACATGAGGGAGCAGTGTGGAGGAACCCAAGAAAACCTTTGCACTTAAGCTGGAGCAACATGGGTATACGGCAGCCATCTCATCTGAGAGTCACAGACTCTTCCCGAGGCCCCAGAGGTGGGGTCTGCAGGCTTAAAGGGTAGAAGGGTTTGGAGGGTTAAAGTAGGAGGCACACGGAGAGCCATGGGCAAGCTGCAACTAGAGGGCAGAGTGGTAGACGAGTTAAAAAAGTTGTGACTGGCACACTGAGGGCCTTGAAGGCCCTGTCCAGGACAAGAGCACAATCCTTGAACCAGAACAGGCCTACATGTAGAGCATCTTGTGTGATGATTCTTGCATTTCAAACAATCTGTGATGCGCTATCAGATGCCTACTTCTTCTTAAGTCCTGCAATCTGGCAAGCCTGGATATATGACGCCCAGCACCAACAGGCTAAAATCAGTGCTTGTTAAGTGGGGCTCTTTTCTTGATGCTCCCTAATGAAGGGGCTCCTAATCAGGGCCCACCCCCAGCCTGGCCCCCATGGTATCGCCTGCCTAGCTGATGCTGCATGGGGCCACCTCCTTGAGGGGAGGCACATTCCTATCTCAGAACAACTTTTCCTGCTGAAGAAGCAATTCAAAGCAGGAAGACACAAAAGGCAGGCAAGCCAGCTAGTTCTATACCGCCATGGATGACCAGGAAGGAGAAGCGTACATCCTGGGTATTTCTTTCTTCATGTTCCAGTAAAAAGATTATATATTGCTGTGTACCATGGGACAGGCTCTGGTGGCAAGCATAATGTCTGCATTCCAGAATGATTCTTTTTTTTTTGGGGGGGGGTTCGGTTGTGGGGCCTGAACTCTGGGCCTGGGTGCTGTCCCTCAGCTCTTCAGCTCAAGGCTAGCGCTCTACCACTTGAGCCACAGCACCACTTCCAGCTTTTTCTTCTTTTTTTTTTTGCTATGTGGTGCTGAGGAATCGAACCCAGGGCCTCAGGCATGCAAAGCAAGAGCTCTACCACTGAGCCACCTTCCCAGCCCCTCCAGAATGATTATGATGAGGGTTTTGCTGCACCATCAAGTGGTGTAATTGAGACCTGGGATTTTGAGGAAGGACACATATACTGCTAGAAGGGAAAAGACCACCAGTTCATGGCTAACAGATCAGACCCAGGTTGTATGTAGATAAACGTGAGCGGACCCTGTGGTTAGTGGTATTTGTGTGGGAGGGTAATGGTTAGCAGAGGCCCAACTGCCCTAGGAGCCCCATCCTAGAGGACCACATCAGCATGGGAGGGGAGTGGAGAATGGAGGGCCGTAATAGCTCAGATGAGTAACTACATGGGAGCATGACATCCAGCATCAAAAAAATGGAAGAAACTAAAAAGAACAAACTTAAGACATTAAATCTGTACAAATGTAGTGTCTACATCTAGGACACTAGTAATGGCTTGTTTTGTTTCCTCCATTTGTCTGTGATGATTCTTGTCAGGTTTTATACCATACACAGTATCTATGTTGTCTTAGATAAGACCCTGATGACAGACTATTTTTCCTGATTACTTCTGGTATACTTTTAAGAGCTTAAGATAGCACTGTGCATCCATCAGATGTTCTGTTTTGATAGTCTGTTTGAAAACAAAATTAAACAGCAGCTGAATGATGGGGTAGCTGCCACAGGAGCCTTGGCAGGGACTTGGTGCCTAGCGGTGAGGGGAAACAGCAGATATGACTTTGCTTCTTCCCCTTTGCCTTCATATTTGGGTGGGCTTCCTCAAATCCCAGCAGGCCTGGGCTGCTGCAGCTGGTCCCACCCTGGACTAGCTCTTTCTTAGGCAAATAACCCTTCTGGTCAATTTTAGCACCAGGCATTTATTAAGTACTTACGGCAAGGCACTGGTGTTAGTTAGCTCATCCATTTCACTTAAATCTCAAACTTTATATGCTGTAAAGTTCCCTCTTTAGCTTTTAAAAGGCAGTTATAAATGACTTGTGCTTAACTCTCCCTTCCTACCACTAATTCCTTTATATCTTTACTAGAGGATGGAGCCTCAAATTATATACAATGCTCGAGTGGGATTTGATCAGGCCTGTTAGTCAGCATTTACTTGAAGACACTAAAAAGTATAAAAATGCCCTCAGTGCCCATTATCACTTTCTCCATCAGAGGACGTTGTGTCTCTAATTGAAAAGAAAAAGGCTGGCTTACGCAAATGGAAATAAATGTGTCTCTGGCGCACAGGAAAGAAGTGAGGAACATGAAATGACAGGAACGTTGACAGTTTAGTTGGAGCTTTAATTTGGTTTGGGCCTCAGAAACACATATAGTAAATTAAAGAGTGACTTACTCGTTCTTGTCCAGCTGTATCCCAGATTAGGAATTTATGTAGCTCATTTTGGTACTGGACAGTCTTGGTCATAAAAGATGCCCTATAAAGAGAGACCTAAATGATCAGAATACAATTATTTAAAGCACGTTTCCAGCCCCAGTTGGAAACATCACTTAGACTTAACATTCAAACTCCCAGCTCTGCACTATATCCTAACCGTGTTTTTCTCTGGAGTATTTATGAGATACTTAGATGCTGGCTGCAAAGTCTCTGTCAAAATAAAGCATTGGGCACAGCTGCCCAGCACAAAGAAAGAAGACTTTTGCCTATGTAAAATCAAAAGAACTGAGGCATGGTTTGTATCCAGATGTTAGCCTCCTTAGTAAAGCATTAAGAAAGAAGCTGTCACTAAAAAGATGTTATCAAGAGAAAATTTCCTAAAAATCAGGGTATTCAGGGAATCTGTGCACTAGTAAAAAATATTAAGCTGTTTTGGGGTTGACTTTCCCAATTCCCAGGCCACATGCCCATATAAACATCTGAGTAAGAACCAGGGTAACAACGAAGCTAATAAAATTAAGACATTCAACAAGAATCAAGTAGATGATGAAGTGAGAACTGTGAAGTACCCCAACTTGCAGAGCACCCTGGAAACCATGTGGGTCTTGATTATAAAACAGCCTTGCTGGTGGCTCATGCCTATAATTCTAGCTCCTCAGAAGGCTCAGATCTGAGGATCAAGGTTTGAGGCAAGCCCTGGCAGATAAGTCTTATCTCCAGTTGGGGGTGGGAGGGGGGAAGAAGAGGAGGAGAGCAGAGGTGGGTGTGTTTCTGGTAGGTGTGGCTCTGTGGCTGCCAGTCATGAGCCAAAAAGCTGAGAGGACCTGAGTTCAAGCCGCCACCATGCACAGGGACCTCCTCAGCCCTGACCGGGGAACAGCAGTCCTCAGGACACTGCCCTCACTCTCAGACAGGCACTCTAACCAAAGGGCTTTGAAGCAGAGCTTCCTTCCTCTGTAAGCCTCTGTGTTTCCTGAGACCCGTAGGCAGAGAGCATGAGTGGATGGTCCTTTTCAGTGCAGGTCCTTGGGCTTGAAGTCAGGGCCTGGGTGCTGTCCCTAAGCTTTTCTTGCTGAAGGCTAGCACTCTATCACTCGAGTCCCAGTTCTACTTCTGGCTTTTTTGGTAGTTTAGCGGAGATAAGAATTTCATCGACTTTCCTCCCTGGGCTAGCTTTGAGTTACAATTCTTAGATCTCAGGCTCCAGAGTAGCTAGGATTACAGGTCTGAGCCACCCATGCCCAGCCCAGGAAGTCCTTTGTCTCCAAGTCTTCTTATAGCATCCCAGCTTGGTTCAGAGTCTAGAGATGGCCCTGTCTTCTTTTCTACTGGGTAATGAGCTGGCTGGAGTTGAGTGCTACGTTGTTCTCTTGAATCATCATAATGTAATCACTCTAAACAAGACACTGAACGCAATGCTACACATTTTCAGATAAGCTTCAGCTTTGATACAATGAATATTTGTCAATATTTATATAAACTTACAGAACAGCAAGTAGCCTCCAAAATAGTGATCGTGATGATGGGAAAGTGAACAGGAAGCAAGATAGCCTTTATTTCATTCAATAAATGATTTTTATCAAGAACTTTGTGACTGATTAAGATGTGACACAGAATTTCTCACTTCAGAATGACCTAACCATTAAAAAAATATGGTTTATAGAGACAATTAATTGGGATGATGTATGTGCAAGTGCTTTGCAAATGTAATGTGCTACATGCATGCACAGTTGCATTAGTAGTAGTATTAGTGGCATTTAAACGCAGCCCTAGGAAATGTTTGAGTTTCCTTTGCAATTAGTCCTAAAAGCATGCAATACAACCTCTATCAATTATGGCTGTGGGATCACATACAGTGACAACAGTACCCCCCCAGGCTGTTGATGGAGTCAGCCACGCAATGTGTATACAATGATTACTGAAAGGATTGGAAGTATGCTTCACCTAACCAAAGGCTGACAAAGGAAATGTTTCATTACAGGATCAGCAAAGACTGAAGTCCAACCCATGTGCCACCCATTAACCTTTAATGAAAACAGACTTCCACCTTCATAGAAAACAGTGGTGAGGTATTGAGAGTTCTGAAGGACTGAAGCCACATGATCAGCACTCCTCACACCTTTCAGTCCACCCTTAGGTCTTCTCGTGCCCAAAGCACTCTCAGGTGTGTGGCTTGTCTCTTAGTGGCAACTTCACCAGACAATGATACCGGTTCTTCAGCAATCTTGTCTGTCTTGCCTCAAAAACCAAGAAAGGCAGCAATGACATCTCTGCCTGCTTCCTGTACCCAGCAGGAGGCAGCTTCCTTGCTAGAGGAAAATCACAGGTGAGTGGATTAGCACAAAGCTCCTACTCTGGGTTGGCTGGGCTGCCTCTCCAACCGTCGTTCATTCCACCCAACAGTATGCTGCGTTCTGACACCAGCACTCCAGCTCTGTGTTATACCACTGCCCTGCTTTCAGGGGACCCAGTTCCTTAGCCTTCTCTGGAAAACAACAACAAACCCCAAAGAGCCAGGGATTGTAAGTCCTGTGGCTCCCAACCTAAAATGGATAACTCTTTCCATACTGGCTATGATTTCCACTTTCAACTCTTGTACCCACCACCACTGCCTTGTTGATGCTTGAGCTCTCATGGCATCTTATGGGGCATTTCTGCTGCTCAAGCATGGGTTGAATCAGAGACTCCTTTGCTGCAAGTCCCAGCTTGTGTGCCTGAGATGATCATATCCCTACTCTACTGGGCCCACAGCAACAGGCATAGCTGCTAGACTGAAAGCTTGACCTAGCCTATCTGTAAGAAATACTTCCTCCACCGTAGCATTTAGATTTGGTTCCTCTCTTGAGGGGCAGGCCAAACTGGGGAGAGGATAATGCTTTTTGTTTCTCTCAAATGTTCTCCAATGAGCTCTGGGCTAGCCCCAGGACAGAAGCACCTGATTGGCCCAATAATGGATTTCTTGCCATATCTCTTGCATTCCCTGCTGAGGACAGCAGTTTTCCAAATCTACATAATGTAGATAATCCATTACTCTTAATATGGTGAAGATGTCCTACCCATAACATCCCAAATACAAGGTTCCCAGATATAGCATCTGCCTTTCACAGGATAGAACAAGTGTGCAACTATTCTTTGTCCTTTGTTACTTATGTCCAATTTTGTAATAACGCTGCTGGTTCTTCAGTTTATATTTAATCTATACTTGAACCTCAATCCCTGAAATGAATTTACAAATTGAACCCTAATCTTTGGGTGGGACTACTATAATTCCCTTCTCGTCATGGCTTGAACTCCAGGATCACTCCTGTAACGTTCAAGTTAAATCATGTGGAGGGTACGATAACTTCAATATCTTCTTGCCTTTTGAAAAACAGGCAGTGGCTCCCTGCCATTCAAATGATACATTTTTATTTTCCAGCCTGCCATTTACTTGTCTGATAACCTTATTTTTCACTGCTAAACCGTCTCTCTTCAGTCTGCCTAGGCAGATCTTATTACCTCTTTAATCTAAAATCCCTACCAGCATTATTTCCTAAAGCTAGAATGCCTTTCATATGCTCCTCCATTTTTCATGACATTCTAAAAATATGACTTTCATGCACACCAAGTAGTCACGATCTTCAGTCAGAGTACGTGTTCCCAATGAAAATACTTGCTACGAGATGCTTTAAAAATTTCTTTTCTTAATGGCAGGAACTTGTTTAACTCTCTCAGAACCCAGGTATGAGTGACGTTATACTGCAGACCCTCTATTTTCCTTGACTAGCACATGGATACTGTGTTCTGAGGAGGAACAACACAGTATATCCTAAAATTAACAACAGAACCAACTCCTAAACACTTAACAGCATATACGTTGTACATAATGATAAAGCACCATCAGACACCATCAAATCAAATTAGAGCAAATTGTGTGATTTGTGTTCCACAGTTGCACATCTTTAATCCTTTCAGTAAACTCTCCCATCTGAGACTAGTCAGATCCACTGTACCTACTCTGCACAGTACTTTCTTCTCAACAGTCACTACCCACAGGGGTGCACAATAAATTGTTCATCAGGTTCAGTCATCCCAAGTATTATTTTCCACATTTCAGTCACACAGAACCTTTGGTACATTATTTAAACATAAAGCCACCTAAATAAAGAGTTCAGCCTTCCTAAACAGGGTGTGTTGGGGTTGGTGGGAGTGCAATGGGCTGCAAGGGTGAAGATGAATATGATCGATGTGACTGTTTGCACCTATGAAAACAGAACAATGAAACCAGCTAAGACTGTTGTGGGTCAGGAGATGGGAGTCATGAGTAATATACAATAAACATATGTGGAAATGTAACAACTGACAGCCCCCGTAACTAATGCAAACTAATGAAAGTATTCAGCTTCCCTTCCTCTCTCCCTGTCACGCATCTTACAGGCATAATCCTTCTGCATCATAAACACAATCAAGAAAACCAGCTGTCTGTACTCAAGGCCCATTGTTGTAGGGTTCTCAGAGTGAGGCTCAACTCTCCACCATCACTGTACAACAAGAACCAGGCAGTAAGCAGAGAAGTAAGCAGAGATGCTTGCATCCAAGGGCAGGAAGTTGGGCCCAGCCATTCTCTAAACAGTATTCTCCTTGGAACATTTGCCCTTTCATTGTCTGGCAGGAATACTGGGCAAGACAAGCTGAGAATCAAGACCCTACTGCCGCTCTTCAGAGGCTGGCACTGGGGGACTGGCCATGTGAACACATGATTATAAGGCACATACTCTGGGAGATAGCAGGAATTCAGGGAGGTTGTAAGGGTCAGAGGTAGAGTCAAGTCTAAGTATACAGGAGAGGGTGATGCCAGGCATAGGAGGCAGGCCACTCCCTCCATGGCCACATCCTGACCACAACCTGTGAACAGGTGGCCTCGCGTGGCAAAAAAGACTTGTCAGATATGATTATGTAAGAATTTTGTGTTGGAAGAGCATTCTGGATCACATAGGTGAGCCTAAAAGTAATTATGTAACAGTTTTGTTAAGAGAACATTCTGGATCACATAAGGGAAGC